TTCTTACTGGGGTCAAATTGCCTCTTACTGGGGTCAGATTGCTTCTTACTGGGGTCAGATTGCCTCTTACTGGGGTCAGATTGCCTCTTCCTGGGGTCAGATTGCCTCTTCCTGGGGTCAGATTGCCTCTTCCTGGGGTCAGATTGCCTCTTCCTGGGGTCAGATTGCCTCTTCCTGGGGTCAGATTGCCTCTTCCTGGGGTCAGATTGCCTCTTCCTGGGGTCAGATTGCCTCTTGCTGGGGTCAGATTGCCTCTTCCTGGTGTCAGCTTGCCTCTTCGTGGGGTCAGATTGCCTGTTCCTGGAGTCAGATTGCCTCTTACTGGGGTCAGATTCCCCCCCCCCCTGGTTACCTGGTGGTGCCATCATCTCCTTGTATGAAGCAGCCCCTATATGTACTTAGCTACTAAAGTATACTCACGCTTGTCTGGCAGCGAGATGCGTCCAAACAGATGTAGTAGACGGTCGACGGCAACAAATGGCCCGCGGAAGCAAGCAGGCGGTGGCATTAATGTGCACACGTGAGCAGCCGCCGCTGGCATCGGGAAAGTACCGCCTGGAAGGAAATAAACGTGTTAAGGTCTACGCTAAAATTTGAGCACTTCAGCTTGAAAACATAGCGTGGGACGTCCACCCACAAGGTGGACCGACGACATCGTAAAGGTAGCAGGGAAGCGCTGGACGCAGGCCGCTACCAATCGATCAACATGGAAAACATTGGGGGAGGCCTATGTTCAGCAGTGGACGTCCTGTGGCTGAAATGATGGTAAAACTTGAGTGGGTTACACGAAGCGTCGCGTGTGCCTGCCTATTAGGGCTTGTTCCCACGAAGACATCCCTTTTCAGGAACAGTTTTTTGCAGGATCCCATTTAGAAGTATAGATTTTTTAATATTAACGTTTACACGAGAACTCCTCCTATGTTCTTCTGATTAATTTCGTTGCGGGTCCAATGACAGTTTAACTTTCCCCCGGGACAAACTTGACCTTCACTGGTTGGGTTATTGGCGGTCAAGCTGTAGATCCTGGCTACACAGGAGTTGCAGCGGTGGGAACGAGAGGTGGGAATAGTCCCGTTAACGTTTACAAGAACATCACGTTTTCAATGTCCCGCAAAAACCGATTCGATCTTTGTAATTCGGATTTCTAACACATATTATAAGTGATACTGTCCATTTTTGTATCTCTGCATTACGAGATCAAAAAAAGAATACATATCGGGATTGATAACCTCATCTTTATTGTAGTTAAAAAAAGAAAGATTTTCGTAAAACATAGCTAGAATGTAGAAATAAAAATGCTCCATTTTTAGAAAATAAATAGCAAACCTGGTATAGGATGTTCTCCGGGCAAGGGGTTCACTTTAGGCTTGTACGGGATCATTTGGCTCGTGTCTGGACGCGCTATGTCTTTGTTCGGGTCGTTGTCTCTGAAACGCGGAGAATATTATTAAAATTGCTGCGAAAAAATATTAAGAGGCCTTTGTCCAGCTCTGGACGTCTTTTGATTGACCAAGTACTATCAAATTCACTTTAAATTTTTGTCATTTGCACGAAATGACCATACCCACAATTTTGTCTCTTTGATCAAGAATAATTTATTTGCATTGTTTATGGTACATTCTGAATCTTAAGTCTTGTCCATTATTTGAAACGACACAAATGACTCAGGGGTTGTGTTTGGTCGCTGCGAAGAAATATAAGCTTTAAGGACGGAGCACACTTATCAACCCGGAAACGGATAGTGACAGTATCAACTCGAGGCTGTCAGTATTCTTTGTATGAAACTCCATACTGCAACGCACACTTATCCGCACCGTAACGTAAACGCCTCACCTCATTTGACAGCGCGGCGAAAGGCAACGGTGTTGATCCCTTTCCAGGTTGATAAAGGTCATACCTTTAAATATTGCCCATTTAGGCTGAGTTGCACCACCTAATTTGGACCGTAAATTTGACGATAACCGGTGTTTTTTGTATGGAGTTTGACAGATTTTTGACGTTTGTCAAAGTTAAAGTAAGATGGTGCAACACAGCATTATTGTCCTGAAGCTGTGGTAGGGTTAATACTGGGACGTGTAAAAGTGTTTTTTAAAGCCTATTTGCAGAAATAAATGAGTTTTATGAGTATTTTTAAAGTCAGCGTCAACTTTGTTGATGGGATGTCATTCGAAGGGCTAAATCACTTACTTCTGTCCTAAGATAACGGCTGCCAGTTCAGGCGATATGCCCGCCAGAGGCCCTCCAAGGGCCCACGACTTATTTGACATCGATGCCACCTAAAATAACGTAAAATGGACTTTAAACACAAATCAAACTCATTTTTAAGCGATTTCAAAAACATTATAACAGAATAGGTTTCAAAGACATCACAGAGATACGTTGGAAAACCTAAAACAGTGGATTTAGAAATTTGATATAATAAATTAGGTCAAAAATCGATCGAGAATATTTGTCACTTTGTAAACAGGCATGCCAATATCGTGTAGTTGTTGCGATTCACGAAGGCGAGTGAGCTTTACACGTGTGGTGGCTCGCTACTGTTCGTTGTTCAAAAGTTTTGACAGACATTACACTAGCATTATGTGCATGTACACGTACACACACAAGTAAAGCTCACTCGCCTTCGTGAGCAAAAACTATAATATAGATGACCCACGCTGAACTGTCCCACCAAACTCAATGACAGGGGGGCGCTACCATCGTTCAACTATATGGTTTCCAACATGGCAAAAATCGGAACCAGCGATTCGGTATTGACGGTGGCGCCCCACTGTCAATGTCATGCATAGGACAGTTCAGTATTTTGGAACTATATAATATACTTGATGTCATAACGTAAGGTTAATAATTTTGTCGTTTTAGGCTGGTTTTAGAACCGCGCTGACCGCTCGCTGATCGCTCGGCGCCGACGCTTCATACATTTCGGCTGTCAGCGCTGACGGTCAGCGTGCGTCAGCGTGATTCTAAAACCAGCACGAGTATCGTTTAATTTTATACTTTATGTCATCTAGAATAAGGTAGAATACGAATGGTATTTGTCTTTATACGCTTACGTGGTACCGTACCTCAGTGTACCCGATGGACTTCAGCTCGGCGATGCTGCAAGGGTACAGGTCCAGAAACTTGTACCTGTCCACCAGTTGCGCTGTCTCCTTGCCTTCGAACTCTTTGATCTGGGGTGAAAAGGTACAAATAAATAGATAACAACTGTCTACAGCATTTTTGCGCACGGGATATGCATAGCTTATTTTTATTGCTTTAATACCTAGAAATAAGAATAACAACAAAAAATTGTTGTGAATTTGCTTTTATGTGTAAAAAATTGAAAAATTCATATTAATGAATGTATGAAACATGAACATAGAGATGATTTAATTTGTTGCCAAATAATTTTTTTTCTTTCTTTCTTCCATTCTTTCTAATTATTAAAACATACCAAACATCCATTTAAGATTCATTCTCACAAGAGAAAATTTAAAATAGAGTCCAAATATTTATTAAAAATGAAAAGTTCTAATCTCGTCTCATGTTCGATAGAAGATTTTTCTCATAAAAATCTAACCCTATGACGCTTTCAGTATACTGGCCTTGGTAACGTCGTCTTTCAAATCCCACTATATTTTGATGAAAGCGTGCCCCTTGTTCTTGCGAATAAGCCCCCATAATTATCTTTAAATATATCCCAATGAGAATGTGACGTGCATCTTTAGAGACATTTTACTATGAAGATGGAAAATTCAAATCGCTATAACTTCTTAAAAAGCAAATATTTTCGATTTGTAATCGCACTTTTTTATATAAATTTGCTTACATAATCAGAATATAATAAGTAAAATCCATGCGCAAAAAAAAATTTTTTTTTTTGACCGGTGTAATCAACAGCCCTTTACAGTCCACTGCTGGACTACGAGCCTCCTCCACTATAGTGGAGGGTTTTGCCATAATCCCCACGCTTGGCAGGCGGGTTGGAGATCGCAGTTTAAAAGATTGATGTTTTTCAGAGAGCGCTGCTGCCCGTTCTCTGTTTGATGTGTAGTCCCTAAGTCGCCTCTTACGACACCCGCGGGAAGAGTAGGGGTTGGTGAGGAATGTATTCTACTCTGCCGTCACCACACGGCTGTACAAATAAATAGGTACGACTTTACTATCCCACTATTGGGCTAAGCTCTCTTTAGGACAGCGTTTCTTAATCTTCTTTCTTGAAGGCGGAGTAATGGTCTTACTCCATAAGTAACGGATATTTCCTCGGAAGGGACGGGCTCCGTTCACAAAGTGCACGGCGACGGCGTCCCGTTCCGTCCGTAATTCTTGCCACGTATGTTTTCATCATCATTTCAGCCTTAGGACGTCCACTGCTGAACATAGGCCTACCCCAATGCTTTCCACGTTGATCGATTGGTAGTACCGGAAAACGCAGCGTGGGACGTCCACCCACAAGGTGGACCGACGACATCATAAAGATAGCAGGGAAGCGATGGACGCAGCCCGCTACCAATCAATCAACGTATATTTTATTGCTATACAACGTATATTAACCGCCTCTGTGGTCTAGTGGTAAGACCACCTGCTTCAGACGCAGAGATTCCGGGTTCGATTCCCAGTGGGGGCAGATTTTTCCGTTCGGTTTGGTTGGTAGGGTTTGTTCTAAGTCCGCCTGGCTAGCTACCAGCATCTTACCTAAGTCTGTCGCCATAACAACAATGTTAACAGCATTGTTGTGTTCCGGCAGTTAGAGGTAAGATAGCCAGTTCCTCCGTGTTTGAGGATTCCGGGTGAAGCTCGCTTCCACCTTCGGCCTGATCGTCACTTACCATCAGGTGAGATACAGGCCAAGAGCTTCGTCGTTGTGGATAAAAAAAATCATTGGGGGCGGCCAATGTTCAGCAGTGGACGTCCTATGGCTGAAATGATGATGAAGAAAAAATTCATTGTTCCGTGGATGTTTCACATACCTTCTCCAGTACAGCCTGGCGCCGTTTCTCGACCTTGACTATGGAGACCAGGTCGCCGATGTTGGACTCGAACTCCAGGAAGCGGTTCCAGATGTCCACAGAACTCTCTGGCTTCAGGCTGCCCGATGATAGCACTCGCTCGAATAGCACACGTGTGTTGTTGTCCTCTGGAAGACAGAAGGGAGATTGTGATGTAATCTAAATAGGGTATTTGACACCAACAACCAATGAGGGCTATCGTTTTTATACTTAACAGTTGGCACCCCTGGCGATTGACAGGACCTTACTCTACAGTGGCGCCATCTTGATGAGTGCAAATGCGATAGTCCTCCTACCACTTTCGCGCTCACCAGTTGGTGCCACTGTCTTCGCTACTAGCAAGTGACAGGACCTTACTCTACAGTGGAGCTAACTGGTGAGCGCTAAAACGATAGCCCTCATTGAAGTGTAGTGGAACGACTTTGAAACGTCAAATTGCAAAGATCGGAAGCGCCCTTCTGCATATTAGTGCAAATGATTATCACTGTTTTCTACCGTGACAAAAATCGGAACCAGCGATCCGGTATTGACGGTGGCGCCCCCCTGTTAATGTCACAGATGGGATGGTTCAGTGTAGGACATCTATACTTTTGTTAATTGTCAAAATAAGACTACCATAGATTTTGTAGGGTAATACAAGCCGATGACGTCATTATTTTGCCAACTAAATTGACTAACTTTTAATCAATTACAATGCAACCCAGACCAGAATGAAATGTGTTTTTAAAAATGTTGTGTTTTAGAATTATCCCAACTAATATTATAAATGCGAAAGTAACTCTGTCTGTCTGTCTGTCTGTTACGCTTTCCCGCTTAAACCTCGCAACCGATTTTGATGAAATTTGGCATAGAGATAGTTTGAGTCCCGGGAAAGAACATAGGATAGTTTTTATCCCGGTTTTTGAAACAGGGACGCGCGCGATAAAGTTTTTCTGTGACAGACAAAATTCCACGCGGGCGAAGCCGCGGGCGGAAAGCTAGTCTAAATATAATAACTCAAAAGTGACTGACTGACTTACTGATATAGTGATCTATCAACGCACAGCCCAAACCACTGGACGGATCGGGCTGAAATTTGGCATGCAGGTAGATGTTATGACGTAGGCATCCGCTAAGAAAGGATTTTACGAAACTCCACCCCTAAGGGGGTGAAACGGGTGCCACGCGTACGAAGTCGCGGGCGGCCGCTAGTTACTAATATTCTTAAAAAAAAAAAAAACAGCTGCAACTCCCCTCCAAGTTACTTGTGCCGTAAACTCATCATTCAAGAGTGTATTTATGTGTGTGTGTGTAAACTCACCGTTTAAATGCGACAGGTAGTCAATATAACACAGCACATACTCCGGTATATGCGAGAACTTCTTGAGGCCAAGCTCGAAGATGCGGAAGGCTATGTTCTTGTCTTTGGAGCAGTAGTACTCCATTAGCGCTGCAGCCACGAACACGTGGTAGCGAGACCTAGAAGCATCATCAATCAATCAATAAATCATCATCATCAGGTCATTTAGTCTCCACTGCAGGAGTACGACCCTCTCTAATTTACCAGAGGCAAATGGAGGATTTGTCCTACACTCCCCACGCTGGCCAGACGGGTTGGGGAGGCCTGATGTTCGCATATTTGTCCCTTAGTTAGTCGTCTCTTACGACATGCATGGGAAGAGTGGGATCACTTTACCATCAGGTGAGATAGAGGGACAGAAGTTCTTAAAAAGTTCAAGTCAAAGTAAAAAGGATTTATTTGTACTTGTCCATAGAGGTAGGTAGTCTATTAAATAGTATTTTCAAATCGTAGTTTTAAGTAGACATTGCGTCATTTCTCAAAATCTTTTTACAGCTGAGAAAGAAAGAACGAAACGATTTTGATTGGCACTAAATACGCAAAACGAAATCGACTTAAAATAGAAAATGTGCCAAAAGGGACACCTAGTAGCCCTATTTACGTAACAAAACTTCAACGACAACAAATCGCTGAATGCGATCTTATCGAGTAATCGTTCTATCGAAATGACCCTTGTGAATACGGATTTAGAAACTGTTTTTCAATGGGACGACTTCGGAACGTCAGCGAGATCTTGACTGTCAAAATACGTGAATTAGGCCACTGCTCAGAATATGATGAGAGTAGGGATGATTATTGGAAAAACATCGATGTTAACATCGAATCAAAACTATCGATGTACGATAAATTATATCGACTGAAAAACATCGATATTTCTAAAACATCGATGTTTTTGGAAACAAATAAAACTGTCTATTATTTTTATTAGTTTTTTTTTAATCTCTTGAGAAATGAAAACAAACTTATTCGTACGGCTATGGGCTTACTCCGATTATTTTGATCAGTGTCATCTACAGGGTGTTAGGTAAATGGGTATATGAGCCGACACTAGCCCATGTTAACATGGTCATATAAATGGTATGGTGAAGTTAGAAATTTGATTTCATCATTTTTTATTTTTTATTTTCATACAATTTTTTTTATCTACATTTAGTTGAAGCTAGTACACCTACTGCACGCTAGACTGCGCCCAAAAGAATAATTGACGTTTCGATATTTTATTCAGGTAACACCTTTGTTTCGATAATATCGAAGTCAACCCACCGATGTTAAAACATCGATGTTTATTCAACATCAATAAATATCTATCATCCCTAGCCAGAACACTGATAGAGGAAGAAATAATATTCAAAACTTACCTAGCGTCCTCCCTCGCGCGCTTAAACACAGTCCTGGCCGACTTGATGCCCTCAGCACGACGCGCGAACTTCATGTACTGGACGTATGCTAGGGTCGGGTCTATATCTTCCATGTCCAGGTAGCGTGTGTATACTTGGTGGACCTGCGTTGAATGGATGACAATAAGCGAAGGGATAGTTAATATGTACAGTGGTGAAAAACCAGGGTTCGAAAATATCCGATATTTATTATAAATATCAAAATATCGGATATTTATGATATATGTATATCAATTTTGTATGAAAGCCATACTATTATTTTATTGTATTATTCATGAATACTATTGCATATGTGTTACATACACATGTTTTTAATGTTTTTAAAACTTAAAATCAGACAAATAAAACAAAAACATAAAATGTCTTTTAAATACGGCAAAATCAACTAAAAAAATAAAATCTTATGTCAAAAAGTACAAATACAGTAACAAATTTTAATAGTTGATATACAACGTGTCCCAAAATTCAAGGATAAGCCGGCGCCGCAGGGTGGACATAGTCATGACTGCTTTAGGAAAAATAAGAAAAAAAATCTATCTCAATTATTTTTTAAGTTACACAATAAATTATAAAATTCGTCGAAAATTGACACCCCTTATGATATTTTACATTACCACGACTACAATTTTTCAAATACTTCAGTTTTTTTGTTTGTATCGGTAACTTAAGTAGTGCTGCTGTCCACCCCAATTCTTAAAACCCTCAGAATCCTTGCAGTTTTAACACAAAAGTTAATCAAAATATGATATTTCCTTAAAATTTTGAACGATTTTTACTTACACTCCACTTTGACTCGTCGTTTTGTAAAAAAACAGTATGAACACTATTGCGGCAAGTTTTTTATAAAGTTGACGCAAATATCCAAGATTCCGAAATGGTATAATACTCTAAGAAAACTAGTCGCAAAAAAGATATGCGTACCATTTTTACAAGCACTTCGCTTGTTAGTTAGTATGGGATAAATCTTGCAACTGAATTTAAAACCAGTTCTCCTTAACCAATTGAGCTGAAATTTGGTATACTTGTGTAAGTACGATGACAATGCAATATTATGGTACCATTGAGCTGGATGGAGTATGGAGGTGGCCATAGGAACTCTTAACGAAACGGCGGAATTACATCTAGTTTGGGTTCGTTGGACTTGTCTTTTCGAGCACTTTAGTGCTAGAAAAGACAAGTCCAACGAACCCAAACTAGATGTAATTCCGCCGTTTCGTTAAGAGTTCCTATGGCCACCTCCATACTCCATCCAGCTCAATGGTACCATAATATTGCATTGTCATCGTACTTACACAAGTATACCAAATTTCAGCTCAATTGGTTAAGGAGAACTGGTTTTAAATTCAGTTGCAAGATTTATCCCATACTAACTAACAAGCGAAGTGCTTGTAAAAATGGTACGCATATCTTTTTTGCGACTAGTTTTCTTAGAGTATTATACCATTTCGGAATCTTGGATATTTGCGTCAACTTTATAAAAAACTTGCCGCAATAGTGTTCATACTGTTTTTTTACAAAACGACGAGTCAAAGTGGAGTGTAAGTAAAAATCGTTCAAAATTTTAAGGAAATATCATATTTTGATTAACTTTTGTGTTAAAACTGCAAGGATTCTGAGGGTTTTAAGAATTGGGGTGGACAGCAGCACTACTTAAGTTACCGATACAAACAAAAAAACTGAAGTATTTGAAAAATTGTAGTCGTGGTAATGTAAAATATCATAAGGGGTGTCAATTTTCGACGAATTTCATAATTTATTGTGTAACTTAAAAAATAATTGAGATAGATTTTTTTTCTTATTTTTCCTAAAGCAGTCATGACTATGTCCACCCTGCGGCGCCGGTTTATTCTTGAATTTTGGGACACGTTGTATATCATTAAAACCGGCTTGATATATATCGGACTAGCTGACCCGGCGAACTTTGTTCCGCCTTAATGGCAATAAATAAGCAGACTTTTTTTTTGTTTCGAACGGGATAAAAAGTATCCTATGTCCTTCTCCTGGCTCTAAACTACCTCCCTGACAATTTTCAGCTAAATCAGTTCAGCCGTTCTTGAGTTATAAGCGAAGTAACTAACACGACTTTCTTTTATATATATAGATATATATCCCTTGATATATATAGAAAGAAAGAAAGATACATTTATTACAGTGGAATTCACACAAATACAGGCAATTACATAGACATGACAGTGGCACATAATAATAAATATATCCTCGAACCCTGTGAAAAACTGAAGTCTATCGCCGTTAACAAAAGAAAATAATTAATGGTAATGATTCCAAGACGCAACTTATTGTAAACTTGATTCTAGGCTTTATTAATCTAAGATTCTAGCCTTCAAAACCGTGCTATAGTTATCCAACACTGAACTGTCCCAGCTATGACATTTTCAAGAGGGCGCTATAGTTCCAAAATACTGAACTGTCCTGTCCATGACATTGACAGTGGGGCGCCACCGTCAATACCGGATCGCTGGTTCCGATTTTTGCCATGTTGGAAACCATATAGTTGAACGATGGTAGCGCCCCCCTGTCATTGAGTTTGGTGGGACAGTTCAGCGTGGGTCATCTATATTATCAATACTAAATTATTAGTTCCGATTTTTGCTACGTTAGATAAACATTTAATTATGACATTTAGAGAATGGCGCTACTGTCAATACTTAGTTATCAGAGGGCTTAGTGTGAGTTTACATCAAACGTGTGTGCGTTAAAAAAATATATAAAGATTTTAAAGCGTGGTCCGTGAGCACGTAGAATTTTGTCCAATGACCCCAAGCTACCCATCCTTATCGCTCGCGCGTAATTATGTCGCTGTCGCGCTCGCACATCCACTGCGGGCGCCCGTCGCACAGTCGCGACAGCAATATAATTACGCGCGAGCGATAAGGATGGGTAGCTTGGGGTCATTGGACAAAATTTTACGTGCTCACGGACCGGGCTTTAGTTCTTGAAAGTTTCCGCTAGGGGCGCTGTACAATCCGTCATACATTTAATGACACTTTTTTACGCAGTCGACATCGAATGCGTTTGACGTAAATTCACACTACGCCGCCTGAATGTTGCTATCCCTCTCACACTCAGCGCGATGCCAACAGGAGCGACTGTGACAGATGACCATAAGATTACCTTGTTATAGTGCAGTCTGCTCTCTTCATAGTCCGCGTGTGCAAAATGCAGCAAAGTAGAATGTTTCAGAGGCCCGCCCGTCGCTCGCTCGTACACCGCCGCCGCTTCGTCTGAGAACAGACGCGCCGCGTTCGAGTCCTGGCGAGGACAGCGGTGTTAAATGTCATTAGGGATAGGCGCAGACCACTGACTTTTAGTTGATAGTTCGATCCGATTTTAATTTGTATGACGAATCGGCCGATACCAAATCGATGTAATGTGCGCACTTCCATATATGTCCATACTGATTAACATCCCGACCCAAATATCAGCCAACTAAAAGTCGGTGGTTTGCGCCTAGGCGAGGAGCAACTTTCAAAATGTGTTTATTCCACATTTATTTTTTTTGCTAAATTGAGGATTTGCGTTTGACACTCTGTATTTTGGTACAGGCTGGAATTTTCTTAATACTGTAGATAGAAAATTTTACTCAAAGAAAACATTCCATTATTTTTGAAAAGTAAGATAGCTGCATTCAAAGATTTCCGAAAATTCGCTTGCCACATCCGGGAATCGAACCAACTAAAATCTGTTAAAATTACACCCTGTACTTTTATTACACCGATTGTTAGGGTTATGGATGAAATCTCTCTAACAAACTTGTTAAATCAAATGAAAGGAAAACCATAATATTTTTTCTGTGATTTGAAATAATGTATGACACAACTCAAATACAACTAATTTTCCTTCTTCGGAGAATAGTAGTTCGAGTATTGTGCCTATGTGTCGGGTGAATGCACATGTATTCGTCCGCCAGCTTCTGTCGGGTGAATGCACAAGTATACGTCCACCTATGTCTGTCGGGTAAATGTACATGTTTGCGTTCTCTCACCCCTTTCTCCGTGAGCAGTTTAGCAGAATGGTCCAGGAACTGCGCAGCCTGGTGCCACACATCCGGATGGTGTGCCAGGCACAAAAGACACTGCTCTATGGCGAACATGACGCGGCGGGCCACGAGAGCCGTGTCTTCGGATCGGAGAGGGTTCGATCGCTCCCAGGTGATGTATTTCTTCCATAGCTCCACCTGGTGGGAAATTACAGAGTTAGTACGGACAAGTAATCCAAATAGAGGTAGTATTTTGGAGTAGGTTCTTTAGGAGTTGCCACTGAGTGATAAAGGTTTTTTTTCTCTTGTCATTAACTCCATCTGCGAAAAGCTCTAATCAAAATCAAAAATATTTTATTCAATTTTGACTACTGGTGGCAATTATGAATGTCAAATACAGTAAAAAAAGGTAGCCCTTATGGGGCACTTTACATGTCTCCTATAGAAGGTATACCTGCATTACCTGCAAGGCAATAAAAAAGAGTTGGGAGGTGGGAAGACTTTTAGGGTTGACTTTTGGGGAAATCTTCATCATCTTTCAAAACCTGCCGCAGAATCTTCTTCCTGCTTCTAAAACTAGACACGTCCAAACCAGTAGCGCCATCTGTAAGCTTCCTATTACTTGTTTCACTTCCTCCCGGTCCTAAACAGTTCTTCTTTTTACACCTAGGACAACGGGTCACTGGCACCGTCTGTGCGCTCGCACACTCACTGCGGGCGCCCGTCGCACAGTCGCGACAGCATTATAATTACGCGCGAGCTATAAGGATGGGTAGCTTGGGGTCATTGGACGAAATTCTATCTGCTCGGCGACCGGACTTTAGTTAATGTTTTTACCTGTTTCATCTCCTCTCGGTCCACGGTAGGTGGTGTTGCGGGCATATTCCTGTTGAGGCCTCGGGTGACCGTCTCCAATTCTTTGGCCACGCGACGAGCGTTCATATAGTCTCTGGAGCGCTCCATCGCCATTCTTTCCGCTGGTAATACACATAATTAATGTTGTAAATCTAATATAGTAGTAAAAAAAATGTTTTTTAATGTAGTATGGGCTTGCTCCACTCAAAATCAAAATAAAAAATATTTATTAAGTTTAGACCACAAGTGCCACTTGTGGTCTAAACACTCATTTAGGATGTCCAAACCCAAAGGTGTACCGACAATAAAGGTAGCAGGAAGGCGCTGGATGTAGGCCGCTACCAGCCAGTCAATATGGAAATCATTAGGGGTTCAGCAGTGGATGTTCTGTGGCTGAAATTATAATGATGATGGGCTTGCTCTTGATGACTATCTCACCCAGGGGGTGCAGAAGTGAGCTTGCCAGAAGATGTTTATTCACTCGTGCCTGGAAGGCCTTAGGGTTCTATAACTTCGGGAGCAAAGGTGGGCAGGAAACTTGCAGAAATAAAAACTCAAGACGCCATTGAAAGGTTGTGTATAATGTCAAAACCGGTCAAGGTGGACCGACGACATCATAAAGGTAGCAGGAAGGCGCTGGACGCAGGCCGCTACCAACCGGGTAACATGGAAAGCATTGGGGGAGGCCTATGTTCAGCAGTGGACGTACGTCCTATGGCTGAGATGATGATGATGATGATGAATGTCGAAACAGTAGCAGAAAGATACTAAATACAGAACTTGGATTATAGATGGCGCTTTACAAATACGGACTAAGACAAATCAAGTGAAAAAACTCCTGATAAGTGTTCGATCAGCGAGACAGCGTCTAATGCGAAGGCGTTATACAAATTTTTAGCATTAAATAATTTTACCTCTATAAACTTGAAACTAACAGAGCGACATCGTCGTCGTCGGTCCATCGAGTAGGTGCCCGTCTTACTCTACGTAATTTTTTTTTTTTTTTTTTTTATGCTAGCCAAGGCAGGTATTTGACCGCAATCGCACCTGGTGTTAAGTGAGATGCAGTCTAGGATGGTACATACCTGCCCTGTAAGTGCCTATTCACTCTCGCCTTGAAAACGCCCGGATTATAGTGTTCAGGAAATACGTGAAGTTAAGGGATCAAATAAATAGTAACATCAAACATACCGATTATAGTGTTGATGCTTTGCTCAAATGCGATGTAGTCCTTCCATAGCGTCTCTATGCCTATGATTGGAGTTATCACTGCTCTTTGATACACCTGAAACAATATTACTAGAGTTAATCCACAATTTAGTACCGTAAAAGAATGTTTTTTAATCAGACTTCACATATTTACTGTAAAACAGCACCTAGTATAGATCGTTTCATCCACTCGGACGCGTCCCACCATTCTTCCGCTAATGTTTGAGTGTTATCGGTACACGCTGAATGCTCCATGAGTGCACACGCACACTACAGTAATGCCTCACGGCTTGCTCGGACCACACTCCCCGCGCCCGCGCGACCGGGACCACACATTGCTGGGGCGCGCCCGAGTGGATGAAACGATCTGAAGCCCGGTCTCTTAGCACGTAGAATTTTGTCCAATGACCCAAGCTACCCATCCTTATCGCTCGCGCGTATTTATGTTGCTGTCGCGCTCGCACACTCACTGCGGGCACCCGTCGCACAGTCGTGATAGCAATATAATTACGCGCGAGCGATAAAGATGGGTAGCTTGGGGTCATTGGACAAAATTCTACGTGCCCAGAGACCAGACTATAGGTATACGCAAAATTGATTTTTTTTGTTCATTTTTCTTAACAATCAGCCACTCACCTTCCTAACAGCGGATATCTTTTGGTTCTCAGCGTAGGATCCCACCGCGTCCACACTCTTCAGAAAGGTCACGTAGTCGTTCCATATCGGGTAGGCGTGGATGTCCAGACCGATCTTGTCTAGAGCGAAGTCGTAGGCTTGGGCCATCTTCTCTCTGGAAATTTGATTAAAAAGTCATTTTATCATCATCATGTTCGGATGATGTTACAAGATTACCTAATTATGTAGGTAAGACAAACTGTCTAAAGTCCGGTCGCCGAGCAGGTAGAATTTCATTCAATGACTCGCACACTCACTGCGGCCGCCCGTCGCACAGTCGCGACAGCAATATAACTACGCGCGAGCGATAAGGATGGGTAGCTTGGGGTCATTGGACGAAATTCTACGTGCTCACAGACTGGGCTTTAAGAATTTACACTTACTTGTAGGTAGGCAGCATACACTTGGTTTCCTTCACGTAGTTGAGATAAAGCCTCCATAACTCGATGTTGAGGATCTTCATCAAGCAGCGTTGGAACAGCTATAGTGGGGAAGCGGAAATATGCGTTATTTTACTAAATACCATAGGTAAACGTTTAACTCAGTCGGTGCCTGGTATAGGAGCGGTATGGGAGGGGTGACCTTGTCATGATGACCTCACAGAGCATAATCTAGCTAAAGCCTGGTCCGTGAGCACGTAGAATTTTGTCCAATGACCCCAAGCTACCCATCCTTATCGCTCGCGCGTAATTATATTGCTGTCGCGACTGTGTGACGGGCGCCCGCAGTGAGTGTGCGAGCTACGTGCTCACAGACCAGACTATAGACAAAATGCACTTTTTGATCGAATCGAAAATCGAATCCGTCAAAACTCCATACAAAAAAAAGGCTTTTCGACCACTTTTCGACTGGTTTGCGATTTTAATGTGCATTTTGTCTAGTCTCGAAGTCTCGCTGACGTTTGACGTTACAAAAACACCCTCCCGTGCCGCTCCATTGACTAAACTAAGCGATGTTCAAATAAACAATTTTATCTTTGTTTCTTTCTATAAAATTACGGCTTTAACTACAGTGTGAGTCACGATAATTAAAAATTTAAAAAAAATCTCTAACATATTTTGACCTCTTTTTTCTCGATAAAAATAGGTCCAGTTTTACCTAATTTCATATGTGCACTTTATCGTGACTCACACTGTATAACGGGTGTTATACATTTCATCCACTCGGACGCGCCCCAATGTTTGGTCTCGGTCGCGCGGGGTGCGGGGAGTTTGATCAGAGCAATTAGTAAGGCATTATTGTAGTGTGCGTGTGCACTCATGGATAATTTAGCGTGTACCGATAACACTCAAACATTAGCGGAAGAATGGTGGGGCGCGTCTTCGTGGATGACACGATCTATAGGGCTGTTTACTTCAGCGAGCGCTGAGGCGATCAACACAAGCAAAGATTTGTATCTGTATACGCTGTCTGACGTCTTGCGTAGTTTGATAGACAAGTGGTTTCTGTCTCGCTTGCAGACATATTGCAAGAGCGAGGTAGCTAGTGTATTCGATATTGGAACTTGGATGTGTTGTGTGTTCTGTATTCAAATATTACATCAGTGTGAGGTGTGAGTGCGTGTTCGCCTCAACTTTCGCTGCGCGACCTATAAAAAAGCTTCAGCCAAAACAACGCGTGCAGAACGCGTCGGCGATGGCGATCACTGCGCGTGCATAGGCCAGGACGCGCGACCAATGACAGAACGCGTTGGTTTGGCTGCACATATCGTCTACAAATATTCATATTCTTACCTGGGAAACTTTTTGTTTTGGAGATAGGTATTGACGATTTCAAGATCAGATTATACTAAAATCTAATAAAGTATTGAATTGAAACCAAATACTTTTAAGCATTTTTATTTATTATACATTTAACTGAGTGCCTGAGGTATGGGAGCGGCACAGGAGGGAGGGATGACATATGACGTCACAGAGCATCAAGTCTGAAGTAAATCTCACGTCTCGCTGACGTATGACGTCACAAATCACTGACTCTGTTAACCGCTAGACCTATAGCACAATATGCACTTAGAAGTACTTGATTGAAACATTAAAATCGATTGACCATACTTTCCATTGATTTATCCACACCATTTTTTCTGTTGGTTGTATTTTCATCATAATTAAGTTTCCTGGTTCTATTAAAAACAAGATAACAGATGTCGATTTTGAGCAAATTTAATTAAAGAAGAAACATAATATACCAACCTGTTCCTTACACCAGGGCTTCCGAAATCATATTTTTTACTGTGACGCCTTTGGGAATTTGCTATTTGTATGTGTCTGTGAGTGTGTGACTGAGATAGTAAGGGGAAATGAGGTTGTAACGGGGAACTGAGGTTGTAACGGGGAACTGAGGTTGTAACGGGGAACTGAGGTTGTAACGGGGCATTGGTAGGAACGGGGCATTGGTAGGAACGGGGGCATTGATAGGAACGGGGACTGTCGTAAGGGAACTGTCTTAGTAGCGGGGATCAGTAAAAAGCGACGTCTAACATAAAGAGGCGACGTACTGTCATAGAAGGCGGTGGTGTACTATCATGATGCGGGGTACTATGATAGAGAGGCAGGGTACTATGGTACTATCATGGAGAGGCAGGGTACTATCATAAAGAGGGAAGGTACTATCATGGAGGCAGGGTACTATCGTAGAGAGGCAGGGTACTATCAAGAGGCAGGGTACTATCAAGAGGTAGGGTACTATCATAGAGGCAGGGTACTATCAAGAGGCAGGATACTATCAAGAGGCAGGATACTATCATAGAGGCAGGATAGTATCATAGAGAGTTTAGAGAGGCAGGGCACTATCATAGAGAGGCAGGGTACTATCGTAGAGAGGCAGGGTACAATCATAGAGAGGCAGGGTACTATCATAGAGAGGCAGGGTACTATCGTAGAGAGGCAGGGTACTATCGTAGAGGCAGGGTACTATCATAGAGAGGCAGGGTACTATCGTAGAGAGGCAGGGTACTATCGTAGAGAGCCAGGGTAGTATCATTGAGAGGCAGGGTCCTATCGTACAAAGGCAGGGTACTATCGTAGAGAGGCAGAGTACTATCATAGAGAGGCAGGGTAGTATCATAGAGAGGCAGGGTAGTATCATAGAGAGGCAGGGTACTATCATAGAGAGGCAATGTACTATCATAGAGGCGGGGTACTATCATAGATAGGCAGGGTGCTATCATAGAGAGGCAGGGTAGTATCATAGAGAGGCAGGGTACTATCATAGAGGCAGGGTACTATCATGGAAAAGCAGGGTACTATCATAGAGAGGCAGTGCACTATCAGAGGCAGGGTACTATCGTACAGAGCCAGAGTACTATCGTAGAGGCAGGGTAGCAGTCTCATAGATAAGCAGGGTACTATCATAGAGGGGTAGGGTACTATCATAGAGGGGTAGGGTACTATCATTGAGGGGTAGGGTACTATCATTGAGGGGTAGGGTACTATCATTGAGGGGTAGGGTACTATCATAGAGGGGTAGGGTACTTTCATAGAGGCAGGGTAGTATCATAGATAAGCAGGGTACTATCATAGATAGGCAGGGTACTATCATAGAGAGTCAGGGTACTATCATAGAGAGGCAGGGTACTATCATAGAGAGTCAGGGTACTATCATAGAGAGGCAGGGTACTATCATAGATAGGCAGGGTACTATAGTAGATAGGCAGGGTACTATCGTAGAGAGGCAGGGTACTATCATAGAGAGGCAGGGTAGCATCATAGAAGGGCAGGGTACTATCACAAAGGATTGGGGTACAGACAAAGAGAAATGTGGTACTATCCTAACAGGTACATAGACAGAATCTGTACATGCTTACATATTCTGCATAGCTTTTTTATCTTATGCATGCATAATAGCTTTTTGTATATTTTTATATCAAGGAGTATTTCTAAAAGGGATAATACATGTCGAAAGTGACCTTACCAAATAGATTTTTAGGTACAATGAGTTTGTAAATTGTATTTTGTTGAAAATTAACGTAATATTTAACTTCAATATCATATTCTTGATTAATTTACAGTATTATTGTTATTAATATCCAAATTATCTGATAAAGTCACCTCCAACATGTCTGAACACAGAGACCCTATCCGAAAAAAAAGATTCATTCATTTCGTGTCTTTTATTGAAACTTACAACTACAACTTAAGCTATCAGTCTTATGGCTGTTCGGAAGACATTTACTCGTATAATAGCGTTGAGCTTCATCACATCCTTATAATCACAGTGTTTCTACGCAAAAACCTTTAATAGTCGTAGCATTGTTTGCAAATTATAACCTGTTCCAATCCATTTTAAATCTTTAAAATCAACAAACTTCTTTAGATTGAATGTTACGATGATATTTATATAATTTTTAAACACTATTATATCCGTTTCGAAGATTTTATTTAACCAGTTGATATAAATGTGTTTTGTGACAAATTGGAACAGGCTGTTTTTACGTGAGAATACTGGCTACCACATTTATCGTGTAGAAAATCTTCTGTAAGAAGATTCGTCATTAATCAATACGGAATCGTTCTGTATACTTAAACCTTAAGTCACAACATCAAGACAATTAACCTGCCGTTTACGAATACTGACCTTTTCGACCTTTTCAAAGTTCCTCGCTTTCATCTGTAAGAGAAGAAACAATATTACTTTCATGAAATGGCTTCCTTTGTTTGTTGTCTGTTTACTAAAGCCTGGTCCGTGAGCACGTAGAATTTTGTCCAATGACCCTAAGCTACCCATCCTTATCGCTCGCGCGTAATTATGTTGCTGTCGCGCTCGCACACTCACTGCGGGCGCCCGTCGAACAGTCGTGACAGCAATATAATTACGCGCGAGCGATAAGGATGGGTAGCTTGAGGTCATTGGACAAAATTCTACGTGCTCACGAACCAGGCTTTAGACAACAAAAATTGTTATCAATAAGGATTTAAATTTTAATAAAAACAATGATGGTACTATTTTTATGATAAAGAAATTGGCATAACATTTTTAATAGACAAAAATTGAACCAATTCATAATAGAACATTAGCGGCCGACCGCAACTTCGTAGGCGTGGATTCCATTTAAGGGGCTTAGGGGTGGAGTTTCGTTAAATCCGTTCTTAGTGAGCATCTACGTTATAAAAGTAACCCTAATGCAAAATTTGAGACTCCTAGCACTTGTAGTTGCTGAGATTTTGTGATGAGTGAGTGAGTCAACCTTTATCTTATACTAGCTTTCCGCCCGCGGCCTCGCGCGCGTGGACCCCGGAACCCTATGTTTTTCCAAAATAAAATTTAGCCTATGTTACTCGTGGATAATGTAGCTTTCGAATGGTGAAAGAATTTTTAAAAACTGTCCAGTAGTTTTTGAGCCTATTCATTACAACCAAACAAACAAACAAAGTTTTCCTCTTTATAATATTAGTGTAGACAAATAAATAAAGATGTTGAATGAAGGCTTAAGGGTATTAATTAGATATTTTAGCATAAGTACTCATTAGGAGTTTGATTTACTTACATTCACAATACTTAAAGACCTAGCTTAGGTTGTAAGACAATCTAACAATGGTATTAAAAAACAATTACCTCCTGCTCTATGTAAATCTTCCAGAATCGGCCGGTGGTGGGAAAAGCGGCAATGAGCTTCTCGTACATCGACCGCACATCGTTGATAGGCCTTGTTTGGGCCTCCCTGATGAGTAAAGACCACGAATCCACATCGTAGGTGTTGGCTTCGACAGCCCTTTGAGCTCTGCTCAACCTCTCGTTTCCCCAGTCCTAAATTGGACAAATAAGTTGTTAAATTATAACGCAAAGGTAATATAAAGCATTTCGTTACAGTAAAACTTACAATTTCAGCATTTTCCTCGGTTGTCGTGGTCATTTTCGCAAGCTGAGTCGGCGTATTTAGGTTAGGTTTTTAATTGAACCTAAGATGGTTTATAGAGGCTAATCAAAACATACAAGATAGATTATCTATCACAATATCAATGCTAATCACAAATCACACGAATAATTAGGAAATAAAATAAAACAATCAACTGGTTTAGCGTCACTATCAAAAATCCATATCTGTGTGAGAAAGTGTGAGAAAGAACGAATTGAATGAACGACGACCGATGATGAATGGACGAAAGAAAATTACCACGGAAATAGGACAAGGCATTTTCGCCAGCAAATAAGTGAGCTCACTTAATTTGACTAATAAATGCTTTATTTTTGGATTAGGATTGATCATGGCAGAAATAAAACTCAATGGTCAATTCTCTAATGCATCCATATCCATAATATTACATACAGAGGAGGTAATGCAAGCTAATGGAATAAATCTGTGAAGTGAGCTCAATTCTATTGTGCTGTTTGAATTTTCTGAACATGAACGCAGCGGTATTATGTCAAGGTAACGTATTTGACGTATTCTCATTGTTTATTTTTGACAATCAAGCCAACCAAAGCGGCGTCAAATAATTTACACGCAAAATTCCCATTTTAACACTCAAAAATGCTGTTTTACTCGTTCTTCAAGTCCCTGGTGGGCAAAGACGTCGTCGTGGAACTCAAAAACGACCTCAGCATCTGCGGTACTCTGCATTCTGTGGATCAGTACTTGAATATAAAGTTGTCGGACATCAACGTAATAGATCCTGATAAATATCCTCATATGTTGTCCGTGAAGAACTGCTTTATACGTGGATCGGTGGTGCGATACGTGCAGCTGCCTGCTGATGAAGTAGATACTCAGCTACTCCAAGATGCAGCCAGGAAAGAGGCTACAGTATCTACTAGATAATCCTAACCTCAAATTTTGTGTTATGGTAGAAACAGCAGTGTTTCGTGAACTGGAAGTGTGTGTAAATATTAATTTAAATTTAAGCGAAGGTTTCTCAATAAACTTCTAAGATTAAAAGGTTTTTAATTTTTATCTTCTTTACCATTGAAATGTAATTTTGAGAATGTATTTTTATGCTATTGCTTTTCTTTACGACAAGATTTGTCCTATTAAAAAGGACATGGATGTGTCCATAACCTGACTTATACATTACAAAACAACTCGCAATTTTAATGATCAATACCGATCTGTTAATTTACTAACAGCCTTACTTATAAACGTTTATTAAAATTAAGACACAGTTTAACGGTCTATTAAATAATATCTTAACTTAAAAACGATAATTAGTGTTAACCAACGTCTTAGTGACTGCTTAAATAACTGTCAAGTTAAACAGCGTCGGACCCTTGTTTAAAGCCCTAATTACCAAAATGGCGGATCAAAAAGTTAACAGCTGATGTGTGACGTGCCATGCAACGCGCTGTGTTGCTGCGCTGCGCGAAGATACACACAAAACAAAGCATGAAACACATGGCAAAGGTTGGCGCAAACATAATACAAAGTGAAAGTATAACAATAGATAGACATTACAACGGTTGGTGTTTCTTAATACCTACACAGTTAAAAAATAATTCAATGGACTAATAATACACCACATGTTACGTCGGCGAAACACTAAAAAGACTTGAGTTAAACATTCCGACAATAAAATCCTAAAGGCTTCCTAAGGGTGCATGTGCGTGAGAAACTAAAATTACCATGCCTTAAAATTGCGCTAAAACTAACAAAGCATTTACATCTTAAGTTTGTACAAGAAGTATTACAATTATCTAGTGTATAATTATTACAATTGGTAGGTACATAATTTTAATATGGCGTATGTGGGACATAGTCGCCACAGTACTTTTGTTTGTTTGTTGTTGTAGACTTGACAGTTGACTGACAGACAGCGTTTCATTTGACATAACTTTGACGTTTATTATTCTTAATTTTAGCATTGGCTTTCGGCATTTTGGCATTAGAACTGGTCTGAAGTTCGGTTCAGGTGGAGTTAAAAAAGAAAAATTCTAATTAACAGTTGATTAGTTAAGTGACGCTTAAGCAGTGTTTATAAGTGAGAAATATTTAATTACTGATTAAGAAGTTAACGAGTCATTAGTTAATTAGTTGCTTAGACGTTGATTAGTTGATTTTTATAAGTAAGGCTGTAAATTGTCTATTACCATTAAAACTGATTCTCAAAACATTTTTATCTTGTTGTTAGACAATTTAAAGATTATTATTCAAAAGTTCTATAAGCTTTGAAGATGTTATCTAAGGTAGATTTTTTGTAAAAGAAATAAAAAAAATTCAAGATACACCGCATGGTATTTTTAGTGAGCAACTGAGAAGTTTTACCAAGATACTGCTACAAAAAAAAATTACAAGGACTCCAGTAATCTTAACTCTAACTTATCCATGCTATCATTAATAGCTAATCAAAAGTTCTAAAGCATAAGCAAGGATTTTTGAAACAATTTTTGGTGCAATCAGTTTTGTTTAAAACATGAAAGTGCAACATAAAAACATTTTATAGTTATCCCAAAATCGGATTATTTCATCAAACTGTACAATATCAGTACATAATTTCAATATTAATATCCATATTATAATGATCTCTATTATTTTATGACTCACATGGGAATCGAAGTCGGAACAAAAAAAAAACCTATGATTCGATTTTACGATTCGTATTTTATTTTGCAAAGGTGAATCGAAGTCTGCATGTAACGGAACTTCATTTAGTAAGTGTTGCTATTTTATAACATATTTACTACTTTTAGTAGAATCTATTGTACATAATAGGGTTTTACCCGACTGCACTAGAAGGAGTTATGTTTTTTGTGTGATTGAATGAAGAGTGGTTGGGAACTGAGAATAGTTTGGTAACCGTTCTAGAAACTGAAAAAAAGTGTGATTAATGTTTCATAAGTTTTCTATGTTCATACATACGTAGACGGAAGAGCATACATTTATGTATTACCTTAATAATAATGTGCTACACAAATAGAAGTTGATTTAAATCTTATAACAAGGCTCACTCAGCCTTTTCTCTTAAACTTTTTTATAGGTACTCAGAAATTATAGTGACTAGTAGGTGTTTTCGACGTAAGCTGGCAACATCGATTTTAACTTCAGCAACTTTTGTTCACCCCAGTCGGACGGCTGAGCTTTTTTCTTCGTTCGTTCATCGCTGTTTGTTGTATGGTTGTATGTGTACAATTACTGAATATAACTATGCTAAACTTATCTCTTCAATTCATTGTATCTTCTCCATAAACTTGCCGCGGGTGATGCTTCGCCTCTTACTCGGACAAAAGCTGCGCGTCTCACAGAAAACGCCAGTGTTAGTGTTAACATGTGATTAGAATGTAAATAATTAATTGAAATTATCGCACAAAATGGACGTGAAAGGTTGTAATCGTGGGTGTAAAGTGAAGTGACTTCTTTTTTTGGTGTTGTTCCCGAATACAGTGCTAAGCCGTCGAGGTATTCGTTGCAGAGATACCATTTCGAAGTCGTCAAGTAAGTAGTTTGTTGTTTATTTTATTTCACTGTCGCGGTAGTTCAATTTGAGATGTTGTTTATCACTTTGCGCGATACGGATGGCACATCTGCCGCCAACATGTTTTGAACTATGAGTCATACGAACTTTTGTACATTTTTTGTTTATGTTGGGTGTACGCGAGTGAGTTTTTAACTGTAATTAGCGTCAATTAGAATCATTAAAATATCTCATTGCGTGCGTTTACATTATATTTCGATGATCTCCTTAGTGAATTTACGAAATAAACCCGATTTACAGGTAAATAGCGCAGTTTATGTAAGAGAAAAAATAACATTTTCATCAAATTTTAATTACAGTACATTTTTTACATTCCATCTCATTTGACCTCTCAAAACCCCAAAGTAAGTAGTAATTATAAGTTAATTACCTGTTTCTTTGTCTCATATTTTACAAACGTTATAAAATACCAATACATTATTTTAGTAATTTATTAGGTACTTACATCCCTACCGCTTAATTTGAGTAATTAAGTTCAATTTTATTTATTTTTATCATTGTTAATTTACTGGCAATCTAAACATTTAGCAGTTTATTTAAATATTACTTGTTTTGCAGCTGAACCAATTATATGAACAGTATTATAACTGACTAGCTGTCTCAGCAAACTTCATACCACATATGTTCATTAGAAATAATGCAGAATTCTAATAGTGAAAGAATTTTTCAAATCGGACAGTAGTTTTAAAGCCTATTCAATACAAACACACAACAATACAAATTTTTCCTTTTTATATTACAGTAGAACGCCGATTATCTGAATTAATTGGGACCGGGGCCGATTCGGATAATCGAAAATTCGGATAATCGGACATATACTGGTAATAGAGAAAAACAAACTGTCACACATAAAATAAACTTTAATTAGTTTAACAAACAGATATATTTCTACTTGGCGTTATTGTACAACTGCTACAATAACGCTCAGTTGAAAATATCCGAATTCCAACAAAAATTACTTGGTTTTAATTTTTTTTATTACGCTTATGACCGATTCGGATAATTGGCGATTCGGTTAATCGGCGTTCAGATAATCGGCGTTCTACTGTATTAGATGACAGATTAATCATCATTGTCTTGCTACTGAATCTGTAGTCAAGTAGGTAATTTGATATTATATAACAACTTCCCTGTACCATAAGTAGTGTGACTCACTGATTATTATTTAAATAGGTATTCTATGATGCAAAGTTATGGATAACATCATTGTCAGGCCATAAAAATGTTCAATAATAATAAGGCTAGGGATAAGTAAACCATTTTGATTTATTAAGTAATAGAATTATGTATATCCAAAACAGTGACTTTTTAATTAAGAATATCAATAAGAAATCAGCAGTGTAAATTATTCATAAGGTGATAATGATAAAACTTAGACCGTCTCAAAAAGCCCTAAAATAGGTAATTCTAATTAACTGTATTATTTTTTTATAAAAAAAGAAAAGCATTTGTCTCTTCAGTTTCACCCATAAGTAGTTGAACAGTTTATTTTTAATTTGCTGTGAAAATCAAATTTTAGCAGTTTAAATTCAATAAACATTCAGTTTGCATACCAGTATCATCATAGGTTCAAATTACAAAGTCTATAGAAGAGTCAATACAATAAAAAATATGTCAATTGACCATTCCCACCTCTCATTCCCACTGCTGCAACTCCTGTGTAGCCAGGATCTACAGCTTGACCGCCAATAACCCAACCATGTCAATGAGGGCTATCGTTTTTATACTTAACAGTTGGCACCCCTGGCGATTGACAGGACCTTACTCTACAGTGGCGCCATCTTGATGAGTGCAAATGCGATAGTCCTCCTACCACTTTAGCGCTCACAAGTTGGCGCCACTGTCTTCGCTACTAGCAAGTGACAGGACCTTACTCTACAGTGGCGCTAACTGGTGAGCGCTAAAACGATAGCCCTCATTGAATAGTGATGTCATGTACTCTATTGTTCATACACGCAGTTACATAGCAATATTATCTTTTGAATAAATTATATTATTTAAAACACCTTTACACAATAAACAATTGTTTTAACTATGACATAACACACAAATTAGCGTTAAAACAAACCAAAACTTTCCCCAAAATAAAACAGAAAGTGTGAGAGTAATTACGTAATTACAAAGACTGTATTACGGTAATGATCACATTATTAATTAGCATAACTATCTGTTGTATGTTATGTTTACTATTGTTGTTAATTAACCTTTAACCGACGACGTGATTTTTTTGTCACGTCGTCTGCGACGTGCGGTCTGTGGGACCGCTATACTGTTTACTCAAAAAGTAATATTTTTTTGTATAAAAGTATATTGGTTTTATATTTTTTGAGAACATTATAGTATTACAAATAAACATACGTATAATTTCCGA